GAATGCAGATTAGATTAAAAGCATTGGCCTCTTTGATACTTGTTTATAGCCCTGTTCTATTTTGGGGCACAGTGGTTATTTGGGTGTGGATGTTTAATGTGTTTTTACTGATGTTGTCTCATTCCCAGGAGTCTTCATCTGCATCTTTTTCATCGGCGGTAAAGAGTTCATTTTACTTATCTGTCGCAAAGTTAGCTACGATGTGATGTTAATTCTGTTTGAATGTCTGACCGCCCTGTAATCAAGTGGAGTGTTAGGACAGCGGCTATTTTTAGGCACTCACTGATCACTGTTATTTGCCACAAACAAAGCATCCAGCGTTGCCCATTCCGAATGCATTCAGAGCACCACTGCAGTTCTATATGTGAAGTCATGAAAAGTTTAGCTTGAATAAAACACTGACTCATGTGTGATACCTTTGTCCTCTGAACTTTGGTATATCTTTTGTTCTCCTTGCGTTACCATGAGTCTTGAGCTGCACAAAAGGAAGAGAAAACTTCCTCACAACAAAGCTAGTCACACTTCCACTCTGTCATACAGAAAATATGGTCTCCACAGCTCTGTGTGTGTGCAGATAAAGAAAAAAAAAATCACCATTTCAAAAGCTTTCATCCACAAGACCAAAATAATTGTCATTTAAAAATATATATTTCACGTTAAAAATACTGTCCATCCTTCAGTGTTCAGACTAATTAAGACATCTGTATATTCAAAACTGCATATCATTATATTTACAACAGTCAATATGAATAGTTATAGTTATACATCTTAATCATGCATTCACCATTTTGCACTCTATCTAGGTTATTATTTTTTTCAGTGTGAACAGTTCTAAAATGTTCCAATACTAATGTCTACTAATGCCTACAGCACACTTAATATTTATTTTAAATTCCCTAGAAAGATCTCAGCTGAACCTGAAACATAACTGATGAATTACTGTTAACGCCTGTGTGAGATACAAAGGCGTGCTCCTATTGTCCTGTGATGTCCTAGTACTACAGTCTGGTCTGAAGTGCCCTTGTCGCTGAGCTGGCTGTCTCTCCTGAGGCCTCATTCTGCAGCCCCAGCTCACAGCAATGCAAATGAAGATTAGCACGCATCACTGCTCTCTCCCTGCAGCAGGAGAAAGCCTGTCACAGCACTGTCCTGGGCCAGAGGGCTCCTATACTGCATGGACCTCACACTAAATAATCTATAGGATCATGGCTGACAACTGCTACCAAGTAAGGAGATGCATATGGAGGGTATGCTAGGACACTAAAGTCACATATGTAGTTATATTGTTACATAGATGTAGTTATATACTTGAAAGCAGGGGTGGGTAGACAATCCAAAATATGTTCTCAAGTAAGACAAACTGACCTACTATTAATCAAGCAGAAGCATAAAATAGTCACCCAAATTATTACTCAACAGAGCAAAAAGTCAAGTGTTTCTGTGAGTACTGAGTAACAAGTGTAATGCCTCACTCACACTAGTTGCAGTGTGACACTCACATGAGGAGCTCAGAGCTGTGCTGTTAGAGTCACCACCTTTTAGACAGCACGCTTGAGACCACATGTTCCTGCAATAAGTATTTATTCAGGGAAAAGGCAAAAATAGACTCCCAACGGACTTATTCCATAGCGCCTCAGCATCACTCTTCTCGTAATTTTGAACTATACGGTATACCTGATGCCACCAGAGCTGCATCATGTGCAATCTGAACCCGTGGCTAGAAGGGCAAATGCTCAAATTAAAAACATTTACTCAAGAGTATTCTCTTTAGTAGTATATTCAAGCCAGATATTACTATTACAAGTAAAATATGATCTAAAACAAAGTCTGAAAAGTACAATTTCTTTCCACAGTTCATCAAGTAAATAACTGCATAAGCTGACTAGCCACCTCTGCTGGTAAGACATTTTTGTTTTGTGTAGTTTGGCTACAAGATTGTGGGTGTAAGCAGTGCAGTCTGCTGATTAAAGAGCAGAGAATGAAATTCATGAAAATGATAGGTGAAAAGAAAAGACATGAAATAGCTTTTTTTCAAATAGTGTGGGATTGTTATATAAACTGTGATATTTCAAACAACAAAGCATTATAAACGTGGTGAAAGCTGCTTGTAGTCTGGATCTTTGAAGGGTTGTGCGAGTCGCACTAAAAACATTACACTGGTCATTTTCACTGCAGTGATTTGTGGAACAGTTTGTTTCAAATGTTCTACAATGGTTTTCAGTGACAAACCGCTTGGTGAAATAAATGTTCTACAATGGCTTTCAAGGACAAATGCTTTCTGTAGACTAACAACAATTATGTCAGTTTTTCCAAAGTAATAAACATGGGGGAAGCAACATTTATTTATTGATCTATCATTTTATATCAACTTATACACATTGTGTTCCCCTAGAAGAGAACACACCCAAGCAATGCTCTCTCTCTTCAAATTTGAAACCTTACATGATCCAATTTCTATTTTCACATTGTTTTAGTGTTGTTCTGAGCATACAAACATGACACGTATAACGCTCTTAATTTGTCAAGCCTATGATAATTTATAACTCTGCACAAAAGAGAAAATTATGTTTTTATGATTCTCACTGGACTAGTAGACGAGACTATACATGTATTGTTATCTATAGCAGGTGTAGTCCGCTGTTCTCTGTTCATTACAAACCCATTCAGACAATTTAATTTACTTTAGCAACAAGAGGACCGTCTCAGCATCCCAACGGCATGTTAACTAACCATTCCTGTCTTATTTCAATTGAATGATGTGCATGCTGTCTGCACTCATACAATGAAAGTGAATTAAAAAGTATGTCACTTCCCTGGCTTCATTTAATGGGCAATTTGGAGAATCTGATTGCATGAGAAGAAATGGGAATGGAACTGAAGGGGCCCTGGGCTAGAGATCCACAATTCTCTGCTCCACCAGATGAAAACAAGAAACAAACGTAACAAGAGCAAATTGATGGCAAAGAAAATGAGGGAATCGATTTATGATGTATATGCTGTTTCAAAGATATATTTTTATCTCAACATTTACAACATCATATCTGAGAGAAGAAAGCCATACACTGACAAGTAAAGCTGGCTGATGTGTGCCATTAAACACGAAAAAATAGTCACATTAGTCACATAGGGAGAACTCTGCTCCAACCACGTTTTTATTTGGAACACACTGATCTGATACTGGTGTCTGACATCTGCGCCAATACTGGATGATTTGCTGGATCAAATATCGGCTTCAAAATATCAATTCAGTCAGTATTCATAATGTTTGAACTTTTTTGTACACAATGTTGTTCTCTGGTTACTTGACAGGTAAGTAACAGCTACATCAGTGTTTCACAAACTTTTTTTTCTGGGGACCCATATTTTAAAAGTCACAAACCTTCGCAACCCAAGTCAATAGACGTTATTCGTAAATCGCAAAATAAAGGTGGACCATTATTGAACATTAATGAGGATATTTTATTGTTGACTGTGTGACCATGTCTCTCTGAACAATTAGTATTACTCAAGTTTCAAAAAATGACAAACTGCAATTGTACCAGCAATAAAAGGATCCATAAGTCGCCTATTTGGACTTTAAAAGTAGCCCTGTATATCGCAGACCTACATGCAGATCGTGACAAGGTGACCCAAAAAAATCTCTTGCGACCCAGTCTTTTGGAAACGCTGAGCTACATAACACATTTGGATCAGTTTTGACTTATTTTATTTTTGTATAAAGAAAATAAATACTCAGTTTCCGCACTGGTATTGGTTGATATCGAGGACTGGCATTTATAGTATCTGAATCAGAACTGAAAAAGCTGGAGCGGTGCATCTCTAGTTTTTACAGACAGAGGATTGACAAGAGATTAAAACGATCAAAACTGATCATTGACGATTAGATATAACTAAATCTTGAGCTCAATTCAAATAGTCTTATTTTCAACAGTATCACATTATTATTTGACTTAGACACAAAGGTGACTGAGAAGCACAGTGTAAATGTTGCTGCAGCGAAACTTGAATTTCCCTCGGGATCTATAAAGCATCTCTTCTCTTCTATTATTATTATTATTATTTAGATTGTTTCAGTATACAGTCAAAACATCTGTACTGTATCTCTGAATATGGTGCAAACTGTTCTATTTATTTTCTGTAGATGTCTTAGCAGAGTCTTAGGGGAAGAGGGAATGGATTAAAAGACCTGTACATTTGGAGGAGTGATGCAGTGAAAGCAGAGCAGATGGTGTGAGGATCCTCTGAGGTGTGTGTCTGCAGATGGGGAGGAGGCTGCCTGATGCAGTTACTCAGCTCTCGCCTGAGTCCATCAGGGTTGTTCAGAATGATGGTGTGAACTGTAAACAAAAGTAGTGCCTGGAGCCCTATTAGGTCAATGGATTACTTTCACTTATCTTCTCTGAGCGCAGATACTGTACAAATAATTCAAAAACAAACTCATTCAGAATAATTGAAAATTCTATCAATGTCTATTACCTCCTTGAAATTAATTCCCCGTGTAAAAATATAGATGTTTACGCACTGCTTAACTTTTGTGGTGAAGGGTTTGCCATCTGCTTGTCTCCATGGATATGTTATTGCTTTGCCTGTAATGTTTCACCATATGGCTTTATCGTGCATTTATTCAGTTACACATTTGCAAAAATATACATTCAAGAACATCCATTCTTACTGCGAGCGAGCTTGCGTGGACATGTTGATTTAAAAGGGGGCGTGTTAGAAAACAGTAGCCTATCTCCATCTATCTGACCCAAACTAGACTCGGAATCTGAAAAGTAACAAAAGTAATAGTAAACAATGTATGTATATAAAGACAGATTATACTTGAATCATGCCTTGTTACATATAAATATCAAAACTTCATCTTACTTATTCACTAACTTAATCAAAATAAAACTAATACAATATTTAGTAAAAACAAACCGATTAATGAACCAAATAACTAAAGCCTGCAGCCCTAGCACATAGAGTATTACATCGCTTCCTCTGTCTGTTTGTAGATGACCACAGAGGAGCTGGAGGACTTTGTGAATGGTGAGTTTGACGAGCTGCGGCGGTTGGTGCGTTTGGAGGAGAGGAGGACGCTGCACCTGGTGGACCTGAAAGAGGCCTTCCTCACAGCCACAGCAGCCGAGAAGATGGCGGAGATTCATTTGCAGACGGAGCGACTGCAGGAGGAGATGGACAGTATCAACGCACAACTGCATCTCCTGGAGCAGGCTGACAAAGACTCCCTGGGCCCGGCTCTCATGAGACAGGCTGCTATGGCGGAGGCACGCCCCGTCCTCAGACTACAGGTAAGAGAAGCTCTCGTACATGTTAAGTAACCACTCCTGTCTTGTTTGAACTGAATAATGGGCAAAGAAAGTGAATTATAAAATGTGTTGCTTCCAGGGCTTGGTTTAATGGGCAATTAGGAGAAACTAATCACATGAGAAGTAATGGAAAAAATACACAATAACATTTGATGGTCCCTGGGGTAGAGATTCGTGACTCTGCTTCACCAGAAGAAGAGGCTCAATGATTTAATGAGATCTATTTTGATGACAGGGATAAGAAAGAAATACTTACTTTAACTTTTCAAAATTTTAAAGAATAACAATGACAGTTTATCATAAAATATTTATTTATTTGGATCTCACTCCATATCTTCTAGACCTGAATCCACCTGTTCAGAATAAGCTTTCCTCTGTGAATACATCTTTTATTATGTGTTGTACAGTGTCCTCCACTGTCACTATACAGGCACTATTTTGTATTTGTGCTCAGAGTACTATGAAGCACTTTGGTTTTGCATCTCATCATTTCATATGCTGCTGGTGTACAGGGTTATGCCTTTCTAATCCATGTGTTTGAAAACCCAAAATATGATTTAAAATGGCCCCCACAAGTGGGGTCTCCTGCCGTTTCATAAAATGCTAATAAAATCCAGAGTGTGGCACCCTTCGACAGTGTGTTGCAATATTATGTGAATAACATTTTGATGTTTTTTACCTCAAAGTTTAAAGCCTCTTTTCACACAGAGACTTTCTTCTTTTATGTGAAGAAGCCACAAAAACAACCCAGAGACCAAATAGTTTTCACATTTTGAAATGTTTTGAAAAGTTTTCCACATTATTTGAAATGTGAAAGACTGTAAATACGTACATGAAAAGGAAAATCTAAACTTACTTTCAAGATTCTTTTTAAGCAATGTGTAAACCTGATTTATAAAGTCAAATGAAAATGGAATGAAAAGTTTGTTTTAAACAATAAAAATACTAGAAGATCTTTGTGTTGAAAGATAAATCGCACTGAAACTGAATTTGTAAATAGGTTTTTTTTTCCCCCAGAATCCCTTTATAGTCTAGGTCCTCTTTGGCGAGGGCATACACTACACAGCACAATTTTGCAAAGACAGATCAATTACTACAAGACTAAACTTATGTAAATACTAAAATGAGAGTTATTTATGTATGTGTGTTTAACCTAGGACTATATACATTTTTCCTTTCAGATGTTTTTCCTTTATCTAATAATATAATAGTCGCATTTATAAATGTCATGTGTAAAAGTGAGACACTGCACAAGGCTGACACACTAAATTATACCGTCACATTAAGTCAATAGCTCTGTTAACTGCTCAGCAAAGAGAAAAAAAAACAAAAAAAAAAACTTAACTATCAGGGTCAATTGCTAATTAATCCAAACATTAAGCTAAGAGCCAGGGTTCGCAATTGAAAAAGCAAGGGCTATTGCTTTCATCAATAAACAATTAAATGGTACAATTGGCCAGCTGGAACGAAGCTAATCGCTGTGCGCAGTGTTGTGCCAGCTTGCTATAGTTACTTTGATAACCATTGCATTATCAAAGAGCACTACAAACTCTGTGTGGACTTCAATGGAAAAAATGCAACTCTACCCCTCCCTGTTAGAACGTCTCCCTGTGTACAGCTTAATAATGGTTATGAAAAACATGTCCTGTATTTACTGGGCTTTCGTCTGCGGTAGCAAGGTGCCATTATCTGTTCCTGCTCGTGAATACAGGCAGTTACATGCAAATACATCCTCCGAGTGTGCCAGGCTGTCATGGTGTTTTACAAAATATGCACACTGCAGCCACAGACTGGTCCATTTTGTTACATAATAACTGCAATTAATTAAGTTAATTGCAATAGTCAGTCATGTAATTGTATGTAATTCCACAACCCAAAACATGCATAATTGGTAAGATACTCCAGCTAGTCCTTATCAAGCTGAGATCAAGATCTGGGTCCTTGATCTGATGCCAGAACTGTCTATAGATGCATTGGGGACCCTAGGCAAGAGGTGGTCCAGGGCCCCTCAGTGTTTTTACTGCCTGGGGCTCTAGGCAATTACCTGGTTTGCCTACCCTACTGTGGTGGTTCTGTGCAGCACACAACCTATTGACAGGGCGCCTCTGTGGCATTGAAGGATAGGTCGAATACGTAGACCAAATCCCTATGAGGGCATTTAACTGTACATTACCTTAACTTACCTTACCAAGTTATATGGTTTTAAATCACCTAAAAGTTTACGGTAAATGTGAATGTGGGCATGAGAAGTATCTACAAAGTGACCCAAAGTTTTGCAGTTTGATTCCAACTGATGGGGTGTCCTTGGATGAGGTCCAATGAGTGTACTCTGTGAGAATGTGTGTTAATGGGTGAGTGTTTCCCTGCTGTGAAGCTCTTTGAGTCAGAGGAGGTGTGAAAGCTTTATATAAATTGAGACATACTGTATTGATTATATCAGAGATGAAGCCTGCGCCTGCCAGAATGAAACGTACGAATCGAGTCTAATCTGAAGGCTGATACTTGTCAAAGCAGTGCATGTTGTAAAATGGTTTCAGTACATTCCTTGTAGCCTCTAATCCTGAATTATGGCCACACATTCACGTAAATTATTGAACCAGATTAATTTGATTGAATTGCTATACACCTCCAGCTTTCCTTTAAGAGAAGAACCACACTTAAAACCCATGTAACTCTGATGCTTTTAGTCTCACTTACTTCTCAGTACAAAAGTTCAGCACAAGTCTCTCTGAAGACCCCTATGCACAGATGTATTTTATAACTGACAAATAAATCCTCTGTGACCCAGGTTCCATTAAAGTCTTAACTGAAAGTCGATGGTGACTCAGACTTTTTTCTTCCCACGTTTTACTTATTGCAAGTGTAACCAACACTGTAGCTGACAGCGTTATTTGTCGAAATGCTGTTAGGGGAGAAGCCTGTCCTAGGTGTAAAGAACGAACTTGTAGAGCAATACGCCTTTTCTATTAACCAGAATCCCAGAGGCACTCACTACACTTCTCCGTCCATCTCAACTCAACATTTCTGGGGGCAATTTCGTCTAAGAGCCCCTAGCACCTCCTGGATCTGGACTGACTGGGATTAATTCTTCCCCCGTGCGCTCTCTGTCTCGGCAGATGGCACATTGAACTGCACTCACTCCCTCGCCACTTTACCACCGAACTGTAGCAAGTGCTCAGTCTTGATGAATAGCTTTGTTTTAAATGTCAGAATGACTAATATCTTATAATCGTCAAAGATTATGTATCAGACAGGCATAAAGGACGGTCAGACCTCTAAAGAGCATAGGCTTGTTAAAAGTTCCTACTGAATCACTACTGATATTTAACTATTAGTGCTAGCGGGCTCAATTGTAAATCCATAGTGTTATTTTGGGAATGGTGTTACCTTTTTTAGGCTGTATTTTACTTTTAAATGGGATAGACAGAAAGCAGGTTTTACTACCCCAGCACAGTTGGTCCGCTCTCACCCCCCAGTGGCACATAGCAATGCACCAGGCTCTGTGTTCCACATTTGTGGTCGATAAAGTTTTACAATTAGATTTTGTCACAATATGTTTCTTAAAAAGTAAAAAGTAAACTGACTGTGGAAACGCAGTCTGATCAATTCACAAACACTGCTGTTGTCAGTATAAATTTAAACCATGATATAAAATAGCTATAAAAGATCCCATTTTAAAGATGCATTTTATCATTTTTCTGAGGCAGGCAAAGCAATAACACCATCCATGAGACCAGCAGGTGCCGGACCCTACACCAGAAAAGTTACATATTAGGACTAAACAACAATGCTTCACTCTACCACTAGACCTGCTGAACTTGGCAGTACCTGAAGGACTGAAGAAAAGAGTGCGTGGAGAGGAAGGGTGGAGTCTAAGGAACAGTGTGAGTGTGAATGGTCTAACAGGTCTCCACACTTCAAACTCTGCCTCTGCAGCCTACCGTTTGTTATCAGAAACATCTGGCTGTAATCAGGGCAGTCTTTTATGATGTCACCAACTACTGGAAATTGAAGCCAATGAAGGCAACACAAACTTAGATTTAGGCTTTTTTTTTTTACCAGAAAGCTGCAAATTTACCTTGCCTGATTTATCAGCCGGTTTCACTTTGTAGAAAACCGTCTGACCTCACAGCGTTAGAATTTGTTCGCTTAACGGTAGGCGGGTACTTTTTTTCATTTAACGAATCACTGCTATTTGTTTGTGATGTGTGTAATGCGCCTTGGAAGAAGGGCAATAACGTCTTTCCCCTTGGTAAAACATTCTCTTTGTTCTAGCTTTAAATTCTCGATCTCAGGAATCGTTGTCAACAAAGAATATATGGCCCTTTGCTGATTGACCAGTGCCCGAACTCACACTTCCAGGTTTTTTTTGAACCATCTAGTGTATTCCGATTCCTGACCTAGTCGCTGGAGAGAAATGAAATTGAGAGGAGTCACTAGGTGGCTCCAGCCTGGCTAAAATTTACCTGTATTGCACTAAAATTGCAAAAATGGAAGGGACTGTAGATGATGATATCAAACACCATATACACATGGATTTGGTGTTTAGTTCAACTTTAATGTACATCTATTTCCATTACTGTCCTACTTTTCCTGCATTAAAAATCATGTCCACTGTCACTTTTGCTATAAATACATTGTACTTTTCATTTTATAAATTACTGGCCTCCTCCTGAAGTGTTGTGTTACGTCTTATTCCTGGGCTTTGATCCTTGTACTGGTGTCTGCGTGTAGTGTAGAGAATTGGCCCAGCTGTTCTCCTTGTGCAGCCGCAAATTGAGTTCCCACTCAAAGCATGACATGGGGAGCCTTAAGAAAGAATTGATTTAGTCCTGTTGGTTGTACTTGATGTGCGGAGAACTCACTCAAAGTGGTCACTCTCCACTGCGGTGTCTTTGTCCAATTCTTTTTGCCCCGACACCCTCAGAAGATCTTTATTGTTTATTGACTGGATCTGGACCAGCCTTGTCCTGGTCTAATCTAAATTTTCACTTGTGCGTGTTTCTTTTTTTGGATACACTTGCTTCTGAGTCAGTAGATATTATGTGTACAAAGCGCAGATTATATTGAGTTGATGGTAACATATCTTCTCATAAGGGATTCAATTAGTGGAATGTGTATACCAAGGACAAAACATAAAACTTTTTTATTACACCGCAGTGCACTGAGTTTTAAAATATACTGAAAATACCGCAGTCATATACTAATAGCATTTTTAATATAGTTTTCACCCCTTTGGATTGAATATTATTCCTGCGGTGCTCATGTAGTAATTGCAATAATATCAAAGTTCTGTAGTTCAGCACCTTTATCCACATAAGCTGTTTATTTTAGTTTTGAAACAGGGGCAGCTATTAAAGTCTAATGGAAATGATGTATACTACTGAGACCCGTTTAGTTTACTTCCTGCAACACAATTGAATCGCAGTATACATTAAAGGTCCCATAGTACAAAAAAATGAAAACTTGAGTTGTGTTGTGTTTCACTCACGTTCATGTAATCCTGTCTACATCTCCAAAGCTCAAAATGCGTTCTTCCACCTTGTGACGGCATGTAGTGGTAGTTTTTTACATCATGTACTTTTTACAGCATAAGGTGGAACAGAGTGATTTCTGCTTAAGACAAACTTTTTTCATCAAGGGCCACATACGAAGCAGAGAGCTGATCGAGGGCCTTAAACTGGTGCTCAATACAGTGAAAAATTGAAGTATGTGAATGTTTAACACGTTTGAATCAGCCATGAGTCTTGCGAAAATCCTTAAAACTACACATTAAATATCAAATATTAGCTTTATCAAAGTAGATTTTCAAAAAAAAACTTGCATCAATTAAAAAAATACTTTTTACTGCAAGGAAATTTGGGCCAATTCACCTAGAAGCCTGAGGCCCAAGAAAAATTTGTCTGAGGGCCGCATTTGGTCTAAGGGCCACAGTTTGGACATGCCTGGTTTAAGAGAACAACTCAAAAGCGTGATGACTGCACAATCTCACCATCAGACCTCAGAGAGAATCCAGTTCCAATTCCTCCTCAATACTGTTGCCATGTTGCCATGTCCCTTGGTAAGACACCCATCTGTCAGAGTAATGTGGCGAGACTCTAAGGGCATCTGGTGTAAAAGGAACTCAACATAATTTCCATACAACTAGTTCACTCTGGCAACCTCTGACAAAAAAGGCGAGCAGAAAATAACACTGCTTAATATCCAAACAACATTTGGAATGCACAGCAACGGACTTCTTGGTTTTCAAACACCAAAATAGTCAGTTATAGTTTAGTTTGTTGCAAAAAAAATCATAACTCAGTAGTAATGACACAAGTAAGGGCATGTACAAGAGCAGAAAATACAGCATATTTTCTTTGAGATGTGAGCAAATACGTGAATACAACCAGGAAGAATTGCTGTGGTTTTGGTGTTTGTTTGCACGGATTAACTGCTTATCGAAGTGGTAGACACACTAAAACCAAGTCAAATCTCACCAGTCTCCAAATCTTTCAAAATCTGTATTTGCTGTGATTTGCGGCTAATTAAATTTTGAGATCTACAACGCTGGTGCTTAGGAGCGCTCGGCTTTGTGCTGTCTCCAGTATGTCACTACTTATAATGTTAAAATCCCTTTCTAAGCTTCTACAGGCAAGTCCACACTCAGCACAATCACTGGTGAAAGAATATAATGAATATTTTTGTGAGCACTGTGGAACTGAACCATTTGAGAAAAATATCGACTTGTGATTCTGCGATTAGACTTGTGAGTTCTGAATTCTGTTCAAAGGTCACAGTTTAAAGGTGCATTATGTAACTTTTTCCAGCTGCTTCTCTCCATGGAGATGTTATTGTTCTGCACATAATGTTTCACAGTGTGGCCTTTCACTTCTCTCTCTGTGGAGACAAGCAGATGGTACCACAAGGCCAAGTTACAGGTCAGATCTATGGATAGGTGACCCCGCTAACAGTAAAAAAAAAAATGCCTGTTTTGCAAGGAATTTTGAACACTGCACTGATCTACAAATTAATACAGGTAACACAGATAAGTTTAATGTCATTTGTACAATATTGCGGATAAAGCAAGAAACATCTCCATGCACTCAAGTAGGTGGCGGACCCCAACCACAAAAGTTACATCATGATTTTTTAAACATGTCCAGAAGAAATGTTTGTACAGCTCTACACTACAGGGTTAGCTGTTTTTAGATAGAAAAGGAGGATATTTTGTGTTTGTGCAAGAATGGTGTACTTCAGAAATTGCAGCCTTTACTAATTGCATCCATTCAACTTGTGATTTCAATTTGATTGTGATTAATCTTGCAGCCCTTCATGCTGAGCTGTCTTTTCTTTGATGAAAAATGCTGTAATTTACAATAATTTCACCACAACTTTTACACCAAAGTTTTCTCAATCGATGTTAAATAACACATGCTTTCTAACAAACTCTTTGCCAAAAAACTAGAAAAAAAACTATTGTGGATTTGGTATTTTATACTAATTACATTCTCTACTAATTACATTCACGGTCCCAAAAATAAAGTCAAATTATTTTGCTTTTAACTCTTTAAAGGGCCCATATTATTACTATTTTTTGACATTATGTTATAATGTTGTTTCCTCATCAAAAAGATTGCCGTTTTATTGTGTTTTATTTACATATGCACACACAAACCGTGCATCTTTAGGAGTTTTTCTCCCAAACAAAAAACAACCTCTGTTCCAACTTGTGCTGTCATGTGGTAATACAGAAAGTGCATCACTGTTTTTATTCCATACAGAATCATTCAGATCATTTGAGCCCTGGGATTATTTCTACTGAACTTTAGGTAAAAGGTATTTGTTTACTTGAAAAATACCACTTTGTGACATGACAAGGTAGAACAAAGCATTTTGAGCTTTGGAGATGTAAACAGGCTAATAATAAAAGGTTACTCAACATGTCTGAATGAAACAAAACACAACTCAAGGTATGTTTTCGATGAGGTAACAACATTCTGACATGGCTTAAAGCTCACAAGAGTTAATTCTGTGTAATATAGGACCTTTTAAACTCCCCATAACAATGCACAGCTTCCCACGTGTGACTAATGTTCACAGTTCTGCGCTTGGACTCTGACTGCTGCTTTTAAAGCTCATGAATATGCATGAGCTCAACTGCTGGATGAAAGTGTGAATTAATTGGTCTGATTTGGAGCCCCACCAGCTGTGGACGGGGGCTGATATAAATGATGTTGTTTACCTTTTATTTGTCATCCTCAACACCTGTTTGCCCATTCTAAATATGCTTTTTCTCTCTTTCTCTTTGGTTGTTTGCAGAACGACGCAGAAGTCAGGCCAAGGTAAGACAAATGTTCTTATTTTTTGTGCTGGTATTGAAAAGGATGTTTTAATTGTGCTGTAAAAGTTGTTTGAAGATGTGCTTGGAGGCTGAGGAGCAATTATGCATGTTCCAAGTTAGAATTTAGCGTGATGATTATCAGAATATTACAAAACTATAACCACATAAAAACTACAGAAATCACATTTTATCACACTGAAAGATACAAAGATAACCATTTCTATGCAAGTAGCTCAATTAAATCAAACATTTCTTTCTGTTTTTGTTGTGTGGCATAAAAATCTTGTAAGATTAAGGTTTATTATTAAATTTAAAGATGAACTAGCAGTATATGTAACTTTTCTGGTGGAGGGTCTAACACCTGTTTGTCTCCTGGTAGATGATATCACTTAGCCTGGAATGTTACTCAGTCTGTCATTACACGTTCAATTACAGGTGTTTTCTAAAGCATGCATTCTTTAAATTCTTTTTGTGAGTGGTCTTGCCTCTCCACAGATCTGACCACTAACCTGACCAACTATAGTGTTACTTTCCACGAAGATAGTAAAGTTAAATGCCATACTGTGGGACAGTAGTGTGTTTTAAATAAGTCCCTGTTCTAAGTAGAGATAGACTGATATAGCTTTTTTCATGGCCAACGCCAACGCAGATTTTTTTAGAACCCAGAGGAACCGATGGCTGATAATCTCTGCTGATATTTTTGAGCTGATATATGGGTTGATTTTGATTATTTTGCCCAAGTTCTTTAATATAAATGTTAAGGGTGTAACAATATCCAATATCGTCACGGTATGAACCTCTCGGTACAATATTTATTGCAATATCGTGGGAAAGCTCACGATCAGGGATGCAACTAATATCCACATCTCTTATGTTATTTACGCAATATTTTCACGATATACATCTTACGGTACAATGTTTATTGTGATATTTTGCGATGACTAACAAAACTGTTAATATGCTACTTTTTCCTCTTAAAATGCCAAGATGACAAGACTTAATCCAAAAAACTAAGACTTAAAGGTGCTTAGAAGTGTTATTTCTTCATGTAGTTTGCACCAAAACGGAGCAAAGGATCATGGTCTATGTAGTTCCCTCTGTTTTTTTTTTTTGTTTTTTTTTTTGTTTGTTTTTAGCTATTGCTGCACCATAACTCTTAATTTAAGCAAAGAGACTTGTAATTTGATATATTGTGATAGACAACATCCCTAATAAATGTACTACATATTCACCCACAGCCCTGTTTTACAAGAGTTCTGTAGTCACGTTTACCTTGCAATTACCTTTTCACATTTAAGGATTTAAATAAAGCTTTGGCCAAATCTAAATATCGACCTCTGCTAGAGATTTAAGGTCAATAGCCAATACACTTAATAGAGAAAATATCAATCTTATATATCGGCCAACAGATATATTGGTCTATCTCCAATTCTAAGTAGGTTTTGTGTCCTGATATGCCACCAGATCTGCCCCAAATAAACCCCTTTTTAGTCAGATTTTGCCCTACATATGAACTGGCTAAACTAGACAAGTGATTATTCTACAAACATCCCCCTCATCCTCTCCCTGGGTTTCACTTTTGGCCAGTTAAATATCCTAACATTACAAGAGTCACCTGCCTTTTGTGCCTCTAAACCAACACTATTCTATTCCAGTCACGTCTGTGCCCAAGTCAGGCAATTAGTAGCTCTCATCTGTGCGCCCTCTACAATCAAAGGAGGTGACTATGTGGGTTAATATAAGGAAGCCCATAGAAACGTGTGAGCAGGCTTTGTATGTGTTCTTACCACAATGTTTTATGCTCTGTAATGGATCTCCTATGAGCCATTTTATCATAACAGGGGTCAGCCTACTTTGATAGCTCCAATGTAAATTCACTGCTATCTCATATCGACTGTGAGATATGAGAAACTGGAAGAGATACTGGTATTATTTTTCATCTGCTACATGTGTGGATTCTGTTGATTCATTTTGTTCACAGCTATACAGTCACTGAAATAGGTATTGGGCGCATTTTCATTTTATTATATCTAAAATTTTCACCAGATATTGGTAAAAGATAGTAGTCCAGCCTTGCAGGGAATCAAGCCATAAATGTTAAAAAATGAGGTAATATATAATGTGAAATTGAAAAGTACTATTACAGATTTACTAAAAATTTTACTCAAGACAAGTAAGCTTCTAGAGACTGGGCATTTTCGATTGAATTTAGAGACATTGCTTCAGCCATTGTAACTTTTTTTTTTTCTCTCTGAAATGAATTTCCTTGGAAGAAACTGAACAGCCCCATGTGATTTTGTTCCCTGCTCCAAACTTCATTATAAGGATGATGTTATTGGGGTACTGTGACCTCCAAAGACTTTTTAATGGTTTCATTTGACCAAAATTTGTTTAAAAATTATCTTATTTTGTAGTTTATTTGCAGGTGTGCATAACAGATTATGTTGAGGTCAATAACTGATGTTGGCATATATATATATAACTCATAACCAATTGAGGTTTAGACTTTAAATAATTGATCACAAATGTAAAATATTACTTTCAAATTCCATATCAGCAATAAAAATGTTGGTAGGATACTGGACTACCCAGAGAGCAGCCATGGAGAAAAAGGGAAGACATCTAAAGAGAACAATTCCATCACCTTCACGTCCTTAGACTTAATAATGATTTAAAATAAGTCGAAATAGCGAGAAACTGATGTCAAACAAGGGCTAAAACTTACTTCTTCTTCTGACAAATGTACACATATGATTAGGTTATAGATAGATGTATGACACAATGAAATTCTACTATACACCCTTTTATCATAATGGGGGTCAAGCCTTCTTTGATAGCTGTGAATTTGCACTGGAGCCATCTGTTATCGACCATGTTATGAGAAAGTAGATCAGACGCCAGTATTATTTTTCATCTGCTATTCCTGTTACGTTCGCAGCCTCTCCTCCCTTTATCATTCAGACAGACAATTTGGAATGAATAGTCCTTTTCCAGCTCCACACTTATTGATCTGTTGACATATAAACGCCTCCTTCACCTGGAGCTAGCACACTCCTCACCGAACCACCCGCTGTCTTCCACTGCCTTTAGCTGTCTCTGCAGGCTTTTCATCTCCAAGTGCCCTCTTCCCTTTTACACTTCTTGGAAAATAGATTTTGGTTTTCTCTAATTCAGAATGAAGTCTTAATACTAAAAAAGCTTTGGTCATCTCTGAATACACTGTTTCATAGACAGTGATATTTGCTATGACTCAAAGTCCCCTTCAGGTTCATCCAATTGAATTTGCAATTTGACTCACTATTGCTGTGAAAAATACAGTTTCTTTTGACATATAAAAAACGATAAACTGTAAGTCTTGACCGAGGCGAGCTGAGATGTAATATGTTATTGATCGGTTGGCTTGTATTTTGACCCCATCTGCCTGTGGAACAGATGGCAACATGCCGGGATGCTAGGGTGATGTGGAGCTAAGACTTTGCCCTTCTTGAAGGTTAACCCCATAAACACAAACTCATATAATACTCTTCAGGCTCAGTGTGGAGTCTTATATTAATGGCAGAAATTCTGTTAACATGACATAGAAAAGTCTAAGAAATGCCATTGTGAAACTGTAATGGTTACAGTTGGAAAATATATTGAATCACTCACAATTTCACTTATCAAACACGTATTTAGTTCAGATGGTGGTGTTATTGCATGGGGTCTACACAGTGAACTTTGCTATGATGGAGATTGCTATGATTCCCTTATTTTGACTCAGTTTAGTGGGATTGTAACTATTCTAAATATAAATTATAATTTTACACAAATCAAGAAGCAGTTTGCAAAAAAAAAGTGGAAAAATCCAGGAAGTAGAGAGTTCAAACAATTATTTTTTTTGTTCTGATGCTTTAAACATTAGAGGAGCTTTGCTAGGTAACAATTATATAATCCCATAGTGTGCTGTCACAATTTCCATTTTTAAACCTGTTGTCAGATTGTCTTTTTGAAATGTTTTATCAGTCGTAGTCATTTCTTGGATTACAAAAAAATATCCCACCAGTTTAAAGATTAAAGTGCTTATGAAAACAGGTTATATTTATATTAATTTTACTGAAACACCGTTAACATCATCATTTTTAAGCTTTGTGCAAAAAACATTCAAACTAATTAATTTTATGACCTGAATGCATGTTTTTAGTCTAACCTGTTATAGGGGCATTTTAAATGACTGGCCATGAAAAGTTAGAATCTAAAATTATGTAATCCCTACAAATGACTGTTGATAAAATATTTCAAAAAAGACAATCTGTTACATAAAAAATAAAAAAACATGCAGCATTCAGGTCTTGACTTCTAACTCCTTGTAGATTCTCTGTAACTTCTAACCCCTGATTCTTTTGAACATATTTGAAAGAAATTGGCAAGTGGCTTTCCCTTCCCTGTTGGGGTTTCAGTGAAGCATAACTTCTGTCACTAGGCCCGTATATTGCTGCCAGAAATTCACATATATTTGTAAGGCCAGGGACTGGATGTAGCAAGTATATGGCAACAATACCACCATAACCTCTCACTCACTCTACTCTATATTTATGAAATGGCTTCTACAACATCGGGGATTGTTTTATTTTGAAGTGAAAAGGCTGACAAGGTGAAGAAAGCCTGAGCCCTTAGAACAAGATTTCGGGCAAGAGTAGCTTAGTTGGTAGAGTGTTTGTTCACTGATCCGAATATTGACGGGTTCAAATCCTGCTCTCGACATAAACATCATTGGTTGAGCTACAGTGCAATCCCAGCTCCCACAGATGAATGCTGTTGTTGTGTCCTTTGGCAACATACTTAACCCACCTCGGCCTTAGTGTGTGAATATGTGTGTGAATGGGTGAGTGGTTCCTTGATGTAAAACGCTTCGAGTGCCCTGAAGGTGGAAAAGCGTCACATATAAAAATGTGACCAATGTTAACAAGATTTTCCCCCAGATTCCCCAGTGCGAGTGGATGTAGTGCGTTTGGTGCAGTGGGA